GAAATAGTCTTAGTCTTAGTGTTATAAAAAGCAATATATACTTTCAAAATACTGTTTTTTAAAATTAGCCACGAGCACGGCACGTCAAATGAGTAATCTCCAAACTCGCGCCAATCTTCTTGAGTCTGGCAATTGATCACGAAAATTAATGGCGGAAAGGTTTTCGAATCGTAATTTGTCGCCCTAGAATTGACTTTCAACTAAAATTATTATTGAAAAGGCTTTATTAATCGCTAAAGATTCATATTATAATGAAATAACTGAGTTTTTCGGGTTTTCAAATTAATGGATGGTTTCATCAGAGTGCTCCTTTAAAAAACAACGTAAGCAACACTCACAAGAATTCCTACGATCCCCCGATGTACCTAAGTTCGGCCCCGGACGGTAATTTTATTTTACTTCTTATGGTCTCTCTGATGCTTTAAATCCGCCTGTATTTACCATTATCCATGTCTCACCACGCCGATGTAAGGTAGTGTTTTCACAGGGGGTCCACACAAGCGGCGTGTCTGGTCGTTTGTTCGAAATATAAAGAAATGTGTAGGAGAATATTGAAGAGCCCCAAAGAGGTCAATACCTGGAAGAACATGAAATGCGGGATTTTGTCAGCTACTTCGGCCGAACATAAACGGCTCTCTGTGCCTTGAAATATGTCTCAAATAGACGATCGACCATCGTAGAAGAAGTTCTGACGTGGGCAATTATTACTTGAAAACACCACAGGGCGCCCACACAAGCAGCGTGTCTGGTCGTTTGTTCGAAATATAAAGAAATGTATCGGAGAATATTGAAGAGTCGTAATATCGTAAACTTATATCGAGGAATGTCTATGTTAAGGCTCAAAATAAATGTAAACCTACCTCACTTGCCGTGTATTGTCGTTTTTGTGGTTCGAAATGGCGAATTTGAGTGATTTGGTAGATTTTGCGTTGACTGTTACTCTACTGTATAAGAATGAGACAAGGGTGGAAAGCTCATTTTCGACCGCTCCGCTTTCGAAGCCGATTTTCACCCAGAAATTAGAATCGCCCGGCTTCCAAATCGAAGACCAGATAAACCAAAAGGTTGATGCTTCTTCTCGTGTCATTCAATCAAAGATCCATTCAAATTCCAAGCGCTAACCGCCAAAAAACTTTCGAGAAATGCAGCTTTCCAAGCGATCGGCATCCGCGGCACAGATTTGGTGTGCCAGGGAACAACCGTCATGCTGTTTCCTCCACACTGATTGGATGATGGTAAACAATGCCCTGTTTCAAATGCCTCATGTGAGAGGGGAGTCAGGGGCATATTCGCGCCGGCGATTTATCTACTGGCTAGTCTGGAATAGTCCCTTTGAGAGTCACTCGGAGTAGCCGCTGACTAAGATCGTGAAGGCTCACGCTGGGGCACGAAAGTGAGGCTTATCCTGAGTCGCATCTCGTCACTTCGAAGAAAACAATGTGAAAACGCTATGAGATGTTCACTATATCGCTAAAATAATCGAAAATGGAGCACAAAACTACTAGAAAGAAGCAAGCGAGACGAGGAAAGGAGTGTGCGGCCTCTGAATGTACAAATCCAGAGTATTTACCAATGGAAAATCGTCTGGCTTGCGTTTTTTTCACTTCCCGAAAAAGCATTCATCAATACAGCGATGGTGCAACCTTCTCAAAACACACAACGGTAGAGATGGGTTCGTAGTTACCTCAAATACTGTTATTTGCGAACAGCATTTTCCTGCTAGTGACATCTTCAAACGTCTAGGAGGAAGAAGTAAATTAAGTTGATTCAGCTAAGTTATAGCTTTTCGTAAACAAAAACGAGTCCATTCTCGCACATAATAAACTGATAAAATCTATTCATTTAGGAGCTGAACCATCGATATTTCGGTGGACGTCTGGTTTCTATAAACAGAAAAGAACGCCACCAAAACTACGGATACCAATGTCAGTTAATTCGACTGATAAAACAACAGACACCACAACTTCAAAAGTGACAACAACCAAACCAACAACCACTACATCAACTTGTAATACGACCGTAAATATGGGCTACGAAACCTTTCAGAATTCGAATGAACCGAGGGACCAGGAAGTGTTTCATGTTGAAGCAATTCATTCAGAATGCGTGCCCTTCACTTATGGTAACATAAACCTTAGAACGTTGTCCTAAAATAACCATATATCTTGCATCTTTGTGCCACTATGTTCTTTAATGTACATGGCAAACAACCTACGTCATCAAATGAACAAGCTAGTTTGTGTAAATATTTATAGTTCTAAAGGTTGAAACCAGTGTAATTTGGATTTCATATTTTTGTTTTAGTGTAATGTGTCAACCCAAACTGATGTTTCAAAGACGGACAAAGTCAAACGCTGGCAAATTTCCTAAGTCTTTCTGCCACAGATTATTCCCTTTAACATCTCTTATTATAGCAACATACCTTAAATCATTGTTTTTCCTCTTATGTGGAGCAGATAGTTCTAAAAACTGCGCTTCTGCTGTCTTTGAAGTCGATGGAGTGTCACATGTGCTCAACGGGTCTAAGACTCCACAAATTCTTTCTACGAGATCGCTCTTTTTCCCCCTAACTTTTTGACCGGACTGTTTCAGAATTTCCTTCAGCTCATATAAAGTTTTCTTTTGAAGTTACTGTCGATTAATATCTCCGAATGTTAAGGTTTCGCTTGAGTTTTCACTTGAATTCTCGCGGTCTTCTGCTATGACAAACGTGTAAACAATAAGACAACTCAGGATAAGCCTCAATTCCATGTTATCGCGTAACTGCGATAATTAGAGTCAGCGGCGATTCCAAATAACTCCCAACTCGAATAACGGATTGAGCTGAACGGTAAAGGGAAGGAAGGGTTGAACTGGCGATGTTTTCTGCGTTAAGAAAAATGACTATTGGAGGTTACAAAACATCACAGGGTAAATTAACTTTCTCTAAGACTAAACGATATTGAAATGTAACGATAGAACGCATAATTTCTGTTTACCTTGCCATGTTTTCAACTACGATTGTTCTTTCCAATTATTCATCCAAAAAATGAACGCATTTCTTGCAACGATAACGTTTCTGCCTTTAAAAGCACACACAACCCACAATTCCTCTATTCGCTCCGACGAAGGGCTAACGCTCGAAACGTCAGCTTTTGTAATGGTTACGGTGGCCAATTTACCATTTCAACTTTGTTGATATATCGAAATTATCTTGCAACGATAGCCTACATATATATTTCCGATACAAACCAAGACAAGATTTCGCTGGCGGGAACACAGGGGTTTTCGC